TTCTACAGCTGCATCATTGAGAGCATCTTGACCAGCTGCATCACTGTCTGGTATGGCAGTACTACTGCTATGGACCGCAAGCGCCTGCTGAGTGTGGTAAAGACTGTGGAGAAGATCACCAGGACTCCACTGCCCTCTCTGCAGAGCATTTACCACTGCAGGGTGCGTAGGAAACCTGCCTCCATCCTCAAAGACCCCACGCATCCCTAGCACAGACTGTTCACACCCCTACTCTCCGGTCAAAGGTTCAGAAGTGTAAAATGCAGGACCTCTAGACTGAAAAACTCTTTCTTTCCCTCTGCCACCAGACTCCTAAACAGCTGACAGGAACTTATTACCAGGAAATACGTCATGTAATTCCACCTGTACTGTTTACATTCTCAGTTTGCACATTCACTGTTGACTATTGCACATAAAGCTCCCATGTACTGTAACATACATTCTCTTATTATATTCATATATTTTATCTTTCTTCATTTGCTGGTTTAAAGTGCATTAGATTTTGTGTTACTTATTTATCTACTTTATATTTCACTTGTATTGTGTGGCATTCATGTGGACAGCAAAGTAAGAATTTTTATTGTACAGGGAAACACGTTTCCGTACTGCGCATATGACAAACACTTAAAATTATGACCGACCTACGGCATTTAGAAAACCTTTGTACCATTGCTTGCTCATGCTAATGAGTCTGCAGACGTTTGATGATTGTTTAGGATTATTCATCTACTGCCACCAGTGATGGACCATCCACCTCCAGCCAGAGTGAAAACCTTTGTACAAAACATTGATGACTGAGGTCCCTAGAGAAAATGCAGGCATCACCCACAGTGCTGTTGAAAAATCTCCACTAACAGTAGTTCTATCTGTGCTGTGGCAGAGTGAAAGACAGCCTACTCCATCACAAGCCTGCTGGATGGTATCAACAAGCCCAGTCTGAGTCTCTATAAGCAAGGCCACAGTCTTTTCCTCAACATGGAAAAAAAAACAGCTTGAGTGACTGTCTCTAATCTTACTCAGTGTAGAGGGAACTGCCAATAAGTGCCATTTAGACAGCTATGTAATATGCTGGAGGACGGAGGTCTTCTGCAGGCTGTGCTGCAGGCTCGAGGAGGAAACAATACTCAATATGAAATGCAGTGCTTCCTAGCAAACACATAATCCATGGTCACTTATGTTACACATCACTACAAAGCAGCCACATTTTCCTGACCAGATGATGGGCTTCATTTCCTCCACAAAGGCTGGTGTCAGCATGTCATGTCAAAGAGCAGGGCTCATTCAATCCTCCATCAGAAATGCACTGGAGAATGCCAGCTGACTCACTGAAGAGATCACAAGGGACAACTAGAACTCACCTTAAAAGAATCATTTGAAATTTAGGAAATATGCCTATTTGACATCGAAATACTCATGTTTTAAGTATATGGTGCAGCCAGCAACTGGTTATCTTACTATTAACACTGAATGAAACGGGTTATATCTCATTTGTTTAATCTGTACATAAGGTTGTGGTTTTATTGGGGGGGGGCTCAAATACTTCTTTGTAGGGGGTGCTGAATACCCTGTGTGACTTTGTCACTGAATCAGGCTATCCATTCCCCTGTTTCCAGTCTGTGTTATCCCAAGCTAACTACTAGCTTCATATTTACCACAGAAATGAGTGGTACAACCACATCAAATTTTCAAAGCAGCAAAAGAGTTCATTTTAAATACTGAACTATTATTTATTTGAGAGGGTTGAGAGGCTGAATTTCAGCTCCAATGGCATTCATTCTCACCATGCAACTGTTACTGTCACCATAAGCTGAGAGGTCCTTTGAATACCAGGTCCTTATAATTTTACATTAGAGAACCTAACAACAAATGATAGGAAACACTTGGCATAATGGTAAGTCAGTCTCCAAATACACAGGCTCAAGTCTGGCTTTAATGTGATGCTTAGAACATGATGGTAATCCTGTCCTGGTCAGGATTATTTAGAAGACCAAATTTCATTCTTCTTGGGAGCCTTCTAAACAAACGGTGAGACACCTTAGCTTCTCAAAATAGGTTAACAAGTGATAAAAGCTCTTTAACAGAAGGCAAGACAGGCCAACAGAGAGAGCAGCTCATAATGTGTGCACCTCAACATGGTACTACAAATCACATCACCCAGACAGTAAATGTGATTAACCTGCAGTAACCAAATAATGCTAGATAAAAGAGGCTCATTTTGGGCTACAGTAGTTTTTATACTAATGGGAGAACAGAGCTCATGTCTAATCACAGAGAACACAGAGACGCAGCCTTTGGTCAAAAACCCAGGCAGTCAGTGGCAATATTCTGGGTCACTATTAGATCCTGGACCTCTATTAAATCTCACATGGCCAGTGTGGGCCATCAGATTTCTCTCAATATAAAGCTAATAATTTATTGTAGGCTGGTTTTACCAAAGATATTGTTCCAAAATCTGCAGACATATTTTACATGTGTTCAGACCATTTCATGTAACTATAATGTTATCCTTGAGAGCGTTAATTACTGTGACTACGAGTACTTTGATGACCCTGATGAGCTGTATCCTGCACCACAACATGAAGAGTCACTGTTGTCAGTTTTGAATGTCAGCACGGCTGCATACAGATTGACTTTACTGTAGGCCTAAATTAAAGAACATAACCTTGAAAGTCAAATTCAAACCACCTGAGATAAGTGCATGTCCCACACTACCACCTGCTCAATGGCCAGTTTGAATGTACATATTTAACTCCACAATGCCTGCCAGACTTCATAATGTACAAGAGCCAAAGTATAATGTTATAATGAGGCAGTTTTAGCTTTAATCTCACCACATTTTCTAGTGTTGGAACAACAATGGTGGGATTGAGCTGAAAGCAGGCTTATCTTCAGCCCAACCAAGCACCAAGGGGGATTTTTACTAAGGTTTTGCAGCTCAGTTTCTAATGCTAAAACAATGAAGCTGCATATGATCATATTGTATTTGTCAAGGAGTCAGTGGGGTTTTGCAGTGAGAAGCACTGCATGAATTTACATGTTTGGCCTCATGCAATATTGGTTTTAAAAACATTCCTGTTCAGGATGCAAAAATCAGGGAGGAGAGAATGGAAATTTTTACAAATACTCTCAGCACCTGAAATTTTAGGTGTAAAATTTGCAGCCCTGCTCTCAGTATGGCAGTTGTTAGTCATCTGTAAATTGCATCGCTTACCAGAGAAGAATGGGAGGGACTTTGGCCTCAGGGTCAGACCATGCTTTAGTTACCGAACAAAATAAAAGATGATTTGACTGTCAGGAAACTACATGATTGCAACTCTGAAATTTGTTGATTTCTTCAACCATATTAAAGTTAAAGGTGCAGTGTGCAAGATCTAGAAGGATTTATTAGTAGAAAGGGGCTATAATTTATGTTTTCATTAATGTGTAATCATGTTCCCAGTTGGTGTTGGCCTTCGTCAGGGCTGTCCCTTGTCACAGATCCTGTTTGTGACCTTCATGGACAAGATCTCAAGGCGCAGCTCGGGGGAGGAAAGTGGCTGGTTTGGGGATCTCAGAATTGCATCTCTGCTATTTGCAGATGATTTGGTTTTGGTCATGACCTCCAGCGCACACTGGGGCGGAGTGTGAAGATACAGGGATGAGACTTAGCACTTAGAGCTCTGCTGGAAAACAGTGGACTGCTACTTCCAGGTTGGGAGTGAGTTAAAGTATCTTGGGGTCTTGTTCACCAGTGAGGATAAAATCAAGCATAAGATTAACAGGTAGATAGGGGCAGCATCAGCAGTGATGCAGATGCTGTACCAGACTGTTGTGGTGTAAAAGGACCTGAGCTGAAAGGCAAAGTTCCCAATTTACCAGTCAGTCTATGCTCCAACTCTCACCTATGGTCACCAACTGTGGGTGGTGACTGAAAGAATAAGATCGCGAATACAAGTGGCCAAAATTAGTTTCCTCCGTAGGATGGCTGGACTTACCCTTAAAGACAGGGTGCAGAGCTTGGACATCCAGAAAGGACTCGGAGTAGAACCGCTGCTCCTTCACATTGGAAGGAGCCAGTTGAGGTGGTTCAGGAAGATTATATACTGTATCTCATCTGGCCTGGGAACAGCTTGGAATTCTTCCAGAGGAGCTGGATCACGTCACCGGGGAGAGGGAAATCAGGACTACCTTACTGAACCTGCTGCCACCACAACCTGACCCTGGATAAGTGGAGGATCATGGATGAATGGATGGATGAAAAGAAATGTGTAATCACCAGGAAATAAGAATCATTGCATTTTCTTTATCTTAGAATTAGCCCGTTTTTAATCTAAATAGGAGCGGGTCTCCTATCCTGGAGGCCACCGTATTGAGACACCATGTTTTTTTTTTGTTGTTTTTTTTTTTAAACAGTAGTCCAGACGGAACCAACATCAGTGTGTCCTTTCCCAGATGGAAATCCTTGATGAAGGACATGTGTTTCCAGAATGACACCGAAGTTGCCTGTTTTCTACTGGACAGGTAATTTAGTCTAACTGAATCAACACTGAAAGCGAAACCTGAGCATAGGCCCTACATGAAAATTATTTTCATCCAGTACACATCTGTGCCATCTGTCCACCTGGTGCAGTTTGTCTGCTGTCCTGCTGACGGACAGCTGTTCTGATTACAAAGACACAAAGTGCTGCTCACATCTTGTTTTCAGTGTGGATTCAATTAACAAGATAATGTAAATGCAAATTTTTGTTTGATAATTTTAGCTAGAACATGGCCAGTGCTGGGTAAGCAACTGTTAGCTTTTGCCTGGTCAAGTCAGCTGCACCTGTTTGTGTGTTTTGTTCTAATCCAGGGGTGGCCAATTCCAGTCCAGCTTCTGACTGGCTGAACACACCTGAGCCAGGTAATCAGCAGCAGGTCAGGCAGGGATAGTTGGAAAACAAGCAGGGCAGCAGCCCTCGAGGACTGGAACTGGCCACCCCTGTCCTAATCACTGTGAGGGCCGTTTATCATGATGTCTGAAAGCTAGTGGCGAATGTTGCAATCTGCAACCTCACCACTAGATGTTGCTGTCTCACACACTGCACCTTTAAGTGACAGTAAACACACTCCTTTCTACTGTCCCTCTTGGCTCCTTATGATACTGCAATATTTTCCATGCCTGATGGTAATTTACAACAGGTTTACTAAATATCCACCCAAATCACTTAATTTCACTGACAAACCATGCAGCCCAGTGGGGGGCAGTCGCAGATCAATGAGCTAGCAGCAGAAATTCATCACATTTCCTATGCTCAAAACCAAAATCAAAAAGGCTACTAAATAATATGTTGCACCTGATTTTTGACTGTGAGCTACATGGGCCCATGTCATCCACTTAAGATTTAGGATAGAACCTTTGTAACTGTAAATAAATCAGTTCAAAAGTTTTTTTAGTGATCCAACAGAAATTTGAAACTTGTGAGCGCATCAAACTACGCACTCTAGTTCTTGTATATCAAACCTAGACAAGAAAAAGTTCATCAAATAGTAAAATGATAGACTAATTACCGGTGGACTTCTGAAGATATAAAAATACGGTCCTCTCAGTGCCAGAAACTTGAATGCACAAGTTCTACCACCAGCACTGTCCTCTGGGCTTTCACATGTCCAGCCCACATGAACAATCTGCAGAGATGCAAAGAATTTACAAAAGATCATTTGAATGAAAGTGAAATATACACAATTTCTTGCTCAATCAACAGCCAAAATTTAAAAAAAAAAAGAGTGCACTGTCAAAGCAAATTAATAAAACAAGATCTATAGTGATGCAACTTGGAAAGGGCATACAGTATGTAAAAAGATACCCCTCAGTACAGTCTCCACTGCACCACAATGATTTACCTTTGATCTACACCAGATAGACTTGGGATGCGCTTCACGAAGCAGCATACTGAATCTGCACTGGGCTGCTTTATCTGATACATTCGCCCCTAAATCTTTTGGTCTTAACCCTTTTATCTCACTTATGAATTCAGCTGTGGTAAGCAGTGTGACAAAGTCATGTCAAACTCACTGATGAAGATACTTCAAAAATTTTCCAAATGGTTTATGGCCTGAGAATTTTTACTTTTTTTTTATATATATTTCCCCAGTGCCTCCATACCTGATCATCTGAAGAGCTGTATTTGTTGATTATCTTTATCTACAAGAGACAAATAAACCTAATCAGTGATGGTTACAAAAAGCTATATTAAATACATTACATAAAAATACTTATTGCATTAAAGTATCTTGACCCCTAAAATGCTCAAGAATGAAATTGTCATAAGATAGTCAAAACACACGGATCATACCCTATTTATATACAGTATATTAACTCATTTTCTGTCAATTACTAATACATGCATGTACATTCCATATAGCCAGAGCTTTGCTGTTATCACTAGAGTTCTCTGCATATAACTTAATGAACCAGTGCAACTGATTTTATTTGTAACTAAATACAGTATATATTGGTCTATATTGATACATCAGCTAATACTGGCTTATTGCAGACATACTGTGTACAGTATATGTTGGCTGATGCAGTAACAAGAAATGTCAGTACAGAAATGTCAAACAAAAAGGTAATGGCTAGTATCAACTCAAACACTATTCTAATAAAATTAAATATGTGGATACAATAAAATCTCTTGGATAACATTTCACTATTGAGACCACTGATTTATAGCAATTGGCAGCATAGCCATCTAGGCATTTAAGCATCTAAGCATTTTTGACATTTAGGTGCAGTTTTAACTTTAACGTTTCCTCATTTACAACTCTGGGCTTGCTAAATACAATAACATTTAATTTATATAAAGTCTGTGCACATGTGCAAAATTTGCATACATTTATGTTCACAGTCAAACAATAAGACAAAGTCCAGAGAGACCGTTTGTAATGTCACACCTGATTCAATCCCAGAATGTCACCCATAAAAACTGCAGGTTGGTTAACTGGCTTTCTATGAGAACTGCAACCACATGACTACCTTTAGACTTCAGTTAGCGTCTCTAATTTACTTCTTTTGAATTACGTCTTGGAGGCTATTTAAATAAAAACATACAGTGGGTATGGAAAGTATTCAGACCCCCTTAAATTTTTCACTCTGTTATATTGCAGCCATATGCTAAAATCATTTAAGTTCATTTTTTTCCTCATTAATGTACACACAGCACCCCATATTGACAGAAAAACACAGAATTTTTGACATTTTTGCAGATTTATTAAAAAAGAAAAACTGAAATATCACATGGTCATAAGTATTCAGACCCTTTGCTGTGACACTCATATATTTAACTTAGGTGCTGTCCATTTCTTCTGATCATCCCAGAGATGGTTCTACACCTTCATTTGAGTCCAGCTGTGTTTGATTATACTGATTGGACGTGATTAGGAAAAGCCACACACCTGTCTATATAAGACCCTACAGCTCACAGTGCACGTCAGAGCAAATGAGAATCATGAGGTCAAAGGAACTGCCTGAAGAGCTCAGAGACAGAATTGTGGCAAGGCACAGATCTGGCCAAGGTTACAAAAAAATTTCTGCTGCACTTAAGGTTCCTAAGAGCACAGTGGCCTCCATAATCCTTAAATGGAAGACGTTTGGGACGACCAGAACCCTTCCTAGAGCTGGCCGTCCGGCCAAACTGAGCTATCGGGGGAGAAGAGCCTCGGTGAGAGAGGTACAGAAGAACCCAAAGATGACTGTGGCTGAGCTCCAGAGATGCAGTCGGGAGATGGGAGAAAGTTGTAGAAAGTCAAAGAAAGTCAACCATCACTGCAGCCCTCCACCAGTCGGGGCTTTATGGCAGAGTGGCCCGACGGAAGCCTCGCCTCAGTGCAAGACACATGAAAGCCCGCATGGAGTTTGCTAAAAAACACCTGAAGGACTCCAAGATGGTGAGAAATAAGATTCTCTGGTCTGATGAGACCAAGATAGAACTTTTTGGCCTTAATTCTAAGCGGTATGTGTGGAGAAAACCAGGCACTGCTCATCACCTGTCCAATACAGTCCCAACAGTGAAGCATGGTGGTGGCAGCATCATGCTATGGGGGTGTTTTTCAGCTGCAGGGACAGAGTTGAGTCCAGGATGCAGGGTCGCAGTCTTACACGCCTCTCTGCTGTCTCCTTGCAGCTGCTACCCACCCAATGCTCCCAGTACCCCATAGAGACTGTGTCTGCCACCCGCCCATCTAAATTATATAAATCAAGAATCAACTCCAGAGGAGTTATTCACAAGAACATAATTAAAATTAAGACGACAGCTCTTATAGTGGAAAGTAATAGGACAATCAAAGGTGGACTATTAAATATCATCGAAATCTGTTAGTGAATGATTTGATAAGTGAACATCACATTGACTTATTGTGTCTTACTGAAACATGGTTACAGCAGGAAGAATATGTCAGCCTAAATGAATCCACTCCACCTGGTCACAGTAACTGTCACATCCCTCGAAACACAGGCCGAGGTGGTGGCGTGGCAGCGATCTTTGACTCAAGCCTATTAATCAACCCTAGACCTAAACATAGTTATAACTCATTTGAAAGTCTCACCCTGAGTCTCTCACACCCAAACTGGAAAACTCAAAAGCCTGTTCTGTTTGTTATTGTATACCGTCCACCTGCTCCTTATTCAGAGTTTTTAAGTGAATTCTCAGACTTTCTGTCTGATTTAGTGCTTAGTACAGATAAAATAATCATAGTAGGCGACTTTAATATTCATGTAGATGCCGACAATGACAGCCTCAACAATGCATTCTGTTCATTATTAGACTCAGTTGGCTTCTCTCAAACTAAATAAACCCACTCACTGTTTTAATCACACTCTTGATCTGGTTCTGACATATGGCATCAAAACTGAACACTTAATAGTTTTTCC